TGGAGGAGGAGGAGGAGGAGGAGGAGGAGGAGGAGGAGGACTGAGGAGGAAAAGGAGGATAAAGGGGAGGGGTCCCGAGTCTGCTTGAGTGCTGCGAGTACCGTGACCCTTTCCTCGGTTTCGTAGCTAGCATCCTATCCAAGGTGATGCGCTGATGTCTCGGAGTTTCGTAAGCTCCAGCCCCGGTGTCGAGGAGGAGCGGCTGCATCCCTTTCCTAGTCCCGCGATCGTTGGTTGCTTCCGCTCCCTGCTGCCTAAGAAACGCCGAGGCAAGCAGTAGCGGCATCATCGAGCAACACACAGAGAAGGCACGAGAGCATGTGGGAGGCGATGACGGCATGGCGGAGAGAGGAGGTGAAGGATTAGCCAAGTTGCGAGACGAGGAGCTGTGACATGCGATGAGTCATGACTAGCCCCTCGGCTGGTCCTACAGATGTTGACCCGTCGAGCGGTAAAAACATTTCAAACCGTCACGAGTTGAATTGACTCGCCGGAAGCCTTCCGATGTTCGACCTTTGCCTGCGGCAACTTTTAACTTAACTAGCCCCGGCGGCCCGGCCGGCGGGCCGGCCCGGGGGCGCCGAGGCCGGCGGCGGGCCCGGGGCACCCGGTGGCACCTGGCACTGAGCGGAGTCACGCGGGGGATCACTGATGCCGTAGTACGGTCGGACCGTCTGGAACGTCACGGTTGAAGCCTGAAGTTCCGAGTTCCCGGGCCCGGACTCATCGCCGCCGCCGGATGATAATCCGAATCCGGGACTCGGCGGATGCGAGTCCGCCGTCAGCCTGGCTCAGCTCCGACTGTCGGACTCACCCACCCGGCCGCTCCGGCCAGTGACACGGTCAGTGGCATGACTCAGCAGTCCGCTCGCCGGATCATTGCCAAGTTGCCAGTGTCAGCCTGATCGGCGGAGGTGGCACCGGCCGGGGGAACTTGGACCGAGTCACGTACTGGCACCTGACCGTCGCTGATGCGCCGGGCCGCAGTCACAGTGCAACGGTCCGACGGTCACCGGAGTCGGGCCCGGCGATCCGTGAGCGGCCGGGCCGGCCCCGGCGCCCGGCCGCCCGGGGACTCCCGGCGGCCGCCCCGCCCGGGTCACACCGGACTGACGGCCCGGATGCCATGATTCACCCGGCGCCGCCGTTCTGGCAACAGTACACGGTGAACGGCGTCACAGTGTCGGCCCCACGCGGCCCGGGCCGGCGGGCGGGCCGCCGCACCAGACGGTCCGGGCCGCGTGACACGCCGGTCACTGACCGTACGGTGCCCATGCCGGTCACCCTGCCACCGAGTGTCCGATCGTGTGGCCGCGCGGGGCCGCGCGGGGCCGGGGAGCCTGAGCCTCCGGGCGTCCGATCGCGCGGCGCCCCGGCGGGCTGCCCGTGGCCTGCCGGCCGCCGCGCTGAGCCGCCGGCCGGGTCGCTGCCGTGCAGTGACTTCTGAAGCCACGCTTGATGAGTAAACTCTGCAGTACACCCTGATACCCCAAGGTGTGTGTTCTGCGGGGGTGGCAGTACAAGGGTACTTGACGGGTGGGGTAAAAAGAGGGAAATAGGGGGTTAAATGAAGCTAAAATGGTAGGTAAGGGGTATGAAGGGAGGGGTATCAGGGGTAGGGTAGCAGGGAAACGATAAAAAGAATCACCGAGAATAGAACAGCAACCAACACAGGTGCGAACATGGTGTGAGGGAAACGAAAGAGAGCAAGAAATGGCGAGTGTTGTGGAGAGAGAAGGGTTATGAGGTTAAGGAAAGATAAAAACTTTGCAATGTACGATGATGCCTGCTTGATATTGATGCAAGATTGCTCTGTTGTCCCCTTGAAAATGTCCCGAACATTGCTGAGTGAAGTCAAGAAGCTGGGGGGTTTTGATGTTCCCGTTCGCTTTCAATTTGACAATTTTGTCGGGATTACATCTCACTGGTATTTCGTTTCAAATTTTTGATTTTTCCGCAGTAAAATGTTCACTACTCTCTGGATGTGGCGTCAGGAATACCAGCACGTATGGATTCATTTTTCTTGCTTTGTGGTAGATTGGCTCACTACTCTATTTGTACAGCACGAGCAGCTCCCGCTCGCCTTCAACGGCACCTGGCCTTCCTGGAACTCTGACCTCGACAACCGCCCGGTAAACTTAATTTTCAAGATTTCCCTCACGCTGACATTCTGCACAGTGGTAAGGTGTCGGTGGTTTCGACTGAAAAGTCTAATGTGTTGGTACTCGTATTGTACTCAATAAATTCGTAAAATATTCAACAGCAAGCTCGATGCTTAATACTCTTCATTTCATCTTGCGCTGTAGGAATGCGTTGGTGCAGCCTGCTCTTATTTTTCCCCCTTGAGTTCCAGTAGTTTGCCTGCTTGGAACTAAGCTGCTATGAGCACTCATTCGCCTCAACACCCTCCAGCGCTGTCGTTTAAGTACCATACGCATGTACATCATAGATCTGCGCGCTAGTGCTTGAACCCACACGTTCACTTTGGTTGAGGATATGCCTAGCAAGGAGGGTTCACTAGCAACATGGAACTCAAGACCGCAGATAGACAATCGTATTCTTGAAGTCACAAGATTGCTGCTTTACACAACTACGCGGAGACCTTGACTCGACAAATTTTCACACACAGACAACCATGCAGAGACCTTGACTCAACAAGTTCGAGCCTCAATGCCAAGAGGAGGTATCGACAGGCGAAACAAGGCAATCATTCAAAATTCTACCTGATCAATATACCAAATTTTCCACGAGAATTCGTGTCGTTGTTCACCTATATGGAAATCGCAGTCAAATCCTACAGGGGCTTTGTGCATTTAAGGACATTTTAATCCGGAAACAAACTAGGAGATTCAAAGCATCTGAACGGAATGAATACTGAGGATGTTGGTTTTGTGAGTTTATGAACTAAAATACCAATATGAAGCTAACTCTGGACGAGCTTAGAACCACTCGCCGAAGTAGAGGGGGCGCTGCTCGTGGTGGAGGTACTCCATCTTCCACATCCAGAGCTCGGTGGTTTGGGCCTTAGCAACAGTCTGAAACATTACTACAAAACCGAATTAGTGATTAGCAATACAACAGACAATTTGAACATAAACGAACATTTAAACATGTTCAAGGCAAACAACACCAATGCACAAACAATGTACTAAGCACTGTCAATGACACATTCAACCCGCTTCACTCATCGTTGCCCGCAGACAAGCAGGAGGTAAAATCAGGTTGTGTATCAATCCCGCTAGTTACATCAATGAACTGAACAAGACAGTTCTCATTCAACCTTGCACATTCTACAAGCACCATCACAGACTCATATTCGACATACCGAGTGGTTCGTGTTCGTCAGGGCGCCTCCTCTCTCCTTTTACGCACCTAACGGGTACCCACCCTAACCCCATCGTTCACTACCCCCTAGGTATCGGAATCTGATTCTCGAAATACCCTCCTCTACTTCGTACCCCTTCTCACTAGCAACCGAGTACTAAGAGGGGGTCATTTTCCCTCAAAGCAGTCTTTCTGAATGACCCCATTCATGCGAAAGAGGTGTCTCAAGCGAACTGGGGTCGGTGTGTCAAAAGCAGGGGTGTAGAGACATCAAGGAGGGTGATTAGCCTAGAATGTGGGGGGTGGGGAGAGAGGTGGGTGGTCGTTCTATTTTCGGAGAGCTAAAAGGAGCTGGTTAGGAGGCCCTATCTCGCATAGGTCGAGCCATAGGAAGTAGAATCATTCAACAACTGTAACTACCATGTAACGGTTTGAGCAGCTCGAATGACGGTTATAGAACAGTTACAGTCAATTATTTCTGGGTGATGACGGTAATAGATCGAGAAAAAAAATCTATTTCAGGGGGAAAAAAAGAGTATATAGGCTTCCGCGAGAAAGAGGAATCACAAGAACAGTGAGTGCATTCTCTCTCCATGCATGTGGTGTGGTGCAATGCCGTTACTATTCGTCATTGATTGTAATCTTCCTTGATAAGTGATGTTTGCTTTCCTCTTCTTCACCTTCAATTGTTTAAACACATTTTGTTTACCTTTGCTCTCAGATGTTCCAGACCCTCTACGGACAGACCGCTGCTGCTCTCTACGCCAAGGCTGCTGGCCAGAACGCCCAGGCCCGCCAGCTCTACAACGCCTCCGCTGACACCTACTACAAGGCCAACGATGCTGCTGCCTACGACGACTGGGTTCGCGCTCGCAACCACTGGGACTACTTCTACAACCGCTCGTAAGCGTTTGTAGGGAAATCATCCCGCTTGTAGAATTTTGGGGGTCTAGACAAGGAGGGTAGGAAGACCGAGCTACTCTTTGATACACTATCGGTCAAATAATACAAAAGGCAACGCCAAAAAATCAAATCTGTTGGTTTCTTGATCCTGTAGAGAGCCAAGGCTCTCAAACTGGAATATAGCTCTGTTGTATGTGAGTGACGTTGTGGATGCTACATCCTGTAGTTGCGCATGAAATCGATTTTGAGGTCTCAACTTTGCTCTTGTGTATGTGAGTAACATTTGGAATGCTGCATCCTTTTGCTGCGCATGCAATTGATTTGTTGAAGGCTCAGTGATCATCATGGGGGGATGTTAATGTTCATTAAAGAAACCGACAAAACTGCGAGGGTGATATGTATCCATTGCAGACATGAAGAAGAAAGTATTCATTTCATACATTCATCAATCGTTCTAAGGTGTTGCGAATTTCACCGTTCTCATCAGTTTCCTCTGTGCAACAAGTGGTTGCTCAGCTGTAGCCGAACGAAACACATGGTCAAGATACATGGTACAGCCATCATCGAAAATGGTTGATTCATCGTAACAGCAGAACTTTCTAAGGTGACAAAGCACAATTCCTTGTTTTCGGAGAACATTGCTTTTATGTTTACTTTATTCGAGAACAGCGGAAAGCTCTACTACAACGCTCAGAGATTTACGATTTACGAGCGGTTGTAGAAGTAGTCCCAGTGGTTGCGAGCGCGAACCCAGTCGTCGTAGGCAGCAGCATCGTTGGCCTTGTAGTAGGTGTCAGCGGAGGCGTTGTAGAGCTGGCGGGCCTGGGCGTTCTGGCCAGCAGCCTTGGCGTAGAGAGCAGCAGCGGTCTGTCCGTAGAGGGTCTGGAACATCTGCAAACAGCCCCTCAATTACCAATCGGAACATTCACGGAATGTGTTCAACAATCAATCATCGATCATAGACGATATGCAAACAGAGAAAGGTATTCAAATCAATCTCTTTTGACGACCATATGCAATTAAGTCATCGAAGGAGAAACATGAGATTGCGAAAGATGACAACGAATCCATGAAAAATGCGGTTTTCTGACTCAATGCAACAAATCAAACCACGAGGAGATGCATTGATCATGTGTAAGCTTGTTCTCATCACCACATACACATGTCAAGCATGTTGTCAGGCATGTACGGACCTTTCCTTGCCTCCTCTCCTCCCTCCCCGCGTTTTAAAAACCCTCTGTTCCCGAAATAGAATACTACCCCTCCCCTCCCATTCACCAAAATACCACCCTACGTTCTCGTAGATTCTCAAGTCTCAAGTCGTTACAGCCGTTCTTCACAGAGTCAGTCAGTCGCCGGGCCGGCCGGGCCCGGGGCCCGGGTCACTGTGACGGACCCGACTGTTGCGGCCAGCGCGGCTCAGTGCCGGCCCGGGCCCGGCCCCGGGTGCCCGGCCGCCGCGGGCCGGCCCACTGTCAAGAATCTTTCACGGTACTCAAAGCCTGGTAAGTTTGGGCTGAGCCCATCATGGCATGCTCGAGTCGCCGACTCGGCGATGATGATGATGATGACTGAGTCATCACTGATGGGCCAGTGCCAGCGGCCCGCCGGGCGGGCTGCCGCCGACACTGTCACAGTGTGTGTTGTGTGTCGGAAATTGAAAGAACTTCGGAGAGCACGGGGCCCGGGGGGCCGAGGCACTGCCACCCGGTTGTCACGGTGGCGACTCTGAGGCCGCTCAGCCGACGCCCGGCCGGCCGGGCCTACTGGCCACCGTGACTGAGCCCATAGTAGTGTTGAATCGGACCGTACTGTCACCCGGCGCGCTTGAGATCAGTCAGCCGCCTGGCTCAGCCACCCGGACAGGGGCCGTAGCCGAGCGGCCTGGCGGCGGCGGCCTGAGCCTCAGCCCGGCGGGCCGCCGCACCGTCCGACCGTACTACGGTACGGTCTTTACTCAAAGTTAAGTTAAAACTACCCCGACCGGGCCGCGCGCACCTCGGCCCCGGCCTGCCCCAAGCTTCTTCTCGATCCAATGGGACCTTGTGCCTCGTTTCGCACCCTGCGATGGAGGGGGCGGAATGTGATGATGGGGAAAGAACGGGGAGAACGGGAGAGCGAGAGAGAGGAGGAAGTAAGAAAGAGGAACATGAGAGGAAAGGAGGACAAGCACGAGGTGAGGAGGACAGGAGAGAGTGCTGGCCGTTCAGTCGAGCGAAGAGAGAGGGAGTGATGGCGACTAGAATGTGAGGACGAGCAGTGAAGATTGAGGGGACTGGATTGACAAGGCTCGTTGTGGAATGCGTGTACATGCGAGGTAGATAGACAAGAAGACAAGCATCTGGAAGATAATCAGAGGCAGATAGCTAGGCATCCATGGACCCATTGGAGTCTCGATGATAGTGAGGGAAGTTCGGGCGTGTGTTGAATCCCACCAATCCAGGAAAGCCTCCGAGCCAGTCAATCCTCTCCACAGAGGAGACAAGGGATCGGCGTGCATGATGAAGCTCCGGTGGATCTTGATGTGCACAGCGGGGGCCTGTGTGTGCTGACTGCCAAGTAAATGGACGGGTTGAGAGGCACAGTCAGCAGCTTGAGGTGAGCAGCTTGTCCTTGGTCGGTCCATCCTTCTGATTCATCGCATGCGGCAGAAATCTGTTGCACGAAGCTCTGCAGCATGACGTGGTAGGAGAGAGGGTGCATGCGGGTCATAATGCAAGGGCCGATATCGAGCCCGCTTCTGTGTTGCAAGGTGGTCAACAAGCATGCTTGCGTTCTTGTGATTGTCTTCCGAGACAGACTTCTCCTTGCTTAACCTCCGCCCGGTCTTTGACGACAAGGATGGTCAGGAATAGATGCCCTCGAGCAGCAAGAGAGTTAACGTTCCTTTGTTCAGACCCCGCGCAACGGAGAGCCGTTATGCTGCAACATGCACTGCGACAGCTGGCGTCCCTCTCTGAAGACAAGGAGATCCGCAGTCTTCTCATTGAAGTACCTCCTTCTCCCCTTTCCCTTCTCCTCCTCCCCCTCCTGACCGCCCAACCCCCCCTTTTCCTCCTCCCTCTCATCCTCCCAACACCACAGCTACCAACACCTGTTCCCTTCCTGCGTTCTGCTCCTATCTCCTTTTCCTCACACCGACGCAGATGCATGTACAAGATGACTTGCTAGCGGTTGTCTCCAAGAACGTCCAAGAGGATGAGGGTGTTTGCTTTGCCGCACTGAATATCCTGGTCAATCTGTCGATGTGTAAGGTGAGGTATGGACGTGGTGCTATGAAAATTGTGATGTTCTTTCATAAGGATTCCCGTCATTCTCTCTACCAGACAAGTAAAGTTTCTTGTTCTTCCAACTTTCTCTTACAGCTCTTGGATGTCAAGATGGACTCCCCGAAGTCTTGTTGAAGATCCTGAGGTCTTCTCCTCCTGCTAGCAGGTTGCTTACAGGCAAGATTTTAGATGTAGAGGGTCAGATTGAGTGACTTTGTAAACAGCCTCTGTCACTCTTGTAAGGAATTTGTCAGATCAGGTTCAAGATTTCTCCCAATACCCCCTTGTCTCTTCTTTCCGTATCCATCCCCTCCTCTTCTTACCCCAACTGCCTCCCCCGGCTCTCTTCTCCCTGCTGTTTCATCTTCAATCACCCTGGTCTTCATCTTTGCTCATGCTGGCTGTCAGGGAGGGGGAGACAATCGCGTTCAAATGTTCAAGGTGCTTCTAATTTCCTGTCCGTTTCTGACATCAGCAATGACGACGCCCGTGCTTGTAGTCCGGGATAGTGAACGAGGTTATCAGTATCATCAAGAGGGAAGGCTCCAATAGAGAGGGAGAGGTCGTAAATGCGGCTCTATCCGCATTGTCGAATGTTGCTAGTCACAACCCTTCTCGCCCGAAGCTTTTGAGAGAGAAGGTGCGGAGAGTTGGAGGAACCTGCTTCTCCTCCTTCCTCCTCCTCCTCCTCCGTTTCTCCCTCCCTCCCTCCCTCCCTCCCTCCCTCCCTCCCTCCCTCCCTCCCTCCCTCCCTCCTCCTTCTCATACACTCCCTCAGGGTTTCGTCGACACTCTCATGGACGTCATTCGAAACTCAGAACCAAACTCACGGCCTCTGCGAACAGCGCTGGTGTTCTTGCAGGCTTCACTGTCTTGACTCAGACGCTGACGACCTGCCATGCGCCAGGTGACGCTGACCAACCTGAGCTGCCACAAGGAGAACAGGTTCGACGAGGGACGGACAGGCACATGCGTTGACGCGCATCTCGCAGGCTCCTGATGATTGAGATGGGAATTGCTGACCTCCTCATCACTGTCACCTTGACTGCGATGCCGAACTCAAAACACCTGGAGGTGACATGGAGGAGAGGAGAGAAAGAGGACAGGGGAGAGGAGAAGGTGTGAACGTGATTGTAACTGGGAACGAGACAGGCGGCGCTAGTGATGCTAGTCAACATGAGCGTGATGCAGGTGACTTGTGATCGTCTTGCTTGCTCCTCCTCCCCCTCTCGTCTCCTCATCTCTCTTCGATAGGAATGTCGCAAGGCTTTGGTGTCTGGAGGGACGGGGGAAGCGGCGATCGCCGTCATCAGAGCCTGCATGGGGTACGAGAGCAGCGCAGGGGCCGGAGGCAGCGCGACCAAGAACATGGAGATTGCGTTGAAGCTCGTCCAGAACTTGTCGGCGGATGAAGAGACTGGTCCTTCCTGCCTCGGCGAGGCCGGCTTGACGCTCTGGCGCTGCAGGAGAAACTTTGATCGAGCATGGAGCTCTCGACATTGCTCTGCTATGTGCAAGCAGTACGGATCCCAAGGCAGGAGGAGGAGGAGGAGGAGGAGGAGGAGGAGGAGGAGGAGGAGGAGGAGGAGGAGGAGGAGGAGGAGGAGGAGGAGGATGGGGATCTGACGTCTGGGCTGAAGGTCTGCATACGGTCTACTGACG